GTGTGTAAATGTGACCTGAGCGAAGGCTCGCAGGCAGGTTAGCTGCTGCGCAAGGGGAATATGTTTTGTTTACCTGGGTGCAGTCTTGCAGGCACATCGCCTTGTCTTTTTTTAGTTTATTAACACCAAATGATTGAAAAGTATCGATAAGAGTATCGAAAAATACCGATACCGATAAGCAGTACCGGTATCGATAAAATCCTAACGATACTCATCCCTACTAAAGAGTGACGCAAACAGCTGGAGACCAGGGGACACTCAAGAGTGACGCACACAGCTGGGAGACCAGGGGACACTAAAGAGTGACGCACACAGCTGGGAGACCAGGGGACACTAAAGAGTGACGCACACAGCTGGGAGACCAGGGGACACCAAAGAGTGACGCACACAGCTGGGAGACCAGGGGACACTAAAGAGTGACGCACACAGCTGGGAGACCAGGGGACACTAAAGAGTGACGCACACAGCTGGGAGACCAGGGGACACCAAAGAGTGACGCACACAGCTTTTAGTAAGCGCTGCGCATGTTTCCTCAAGTTGCTGAAGATTTTTGTTCATGTGGGTTTTGGCACATTTGTGTTTTCATGTCTGCATCGTTTCTTAAAAAACAAAACCAAAACATTCAGGACTAAAGCAAGACAAGTCGTAACAACAAAGACGGTGAAAGTAGGTAAAACCTTTCAAACATGAGAATGTGAATCCCAGCTGTCATTGCTCAGCCCGTGGTGCCAAAGCTCTCTCTCGGTCACTTTAGCACTATGTAAATGTTTAGTTTTGAGTTTGTGGAAAAGAGGATATGGTTATGTGATAAGCCTAAGAAATAATTTGGTCCTGAGCTCGTCTCTGTCTCAGCAGGAAGGATTTCATCCGTCACTTGAACAAGTTCAGGCATTACGGGGTTACTGATCAGTGAAGTGCAAGTTCAAACAAGCCATAAGAATGACGATCATCTATCAGATGCCCTCAAACAGCAGCAGTAACCACGGAGATCATATCAAACAGGGGTGTCAATCTCAAGACCTCATTTTATGTGGCCCCCGCAAGAGCGTGCAAAGAACATCATATACGCTACAATACAATACCATAGGTGTAATTGTTGAATATTTGCCCTAGACTTCTGCTTTCAGACGAGGTTATTTATGAAGTTATTACCGGAACTGATAATAATCCAATGCAGAGCCAATAATGTAATATAATTAGAGCTGTCAAACGATTACAATGTTTAATCAGATTAATCAAAGCTTAAACATTAATTAATCAGATTAATCACCATTCGAACTATGTCCAAAATATGCCATTTCTTTATGTATATTGTTGTGGGAATGGAAAGATAAATGAAAGAAGGCGGATATATCCATTTAACATACAGTATGTTTATTATAACATTGTTCTGTGTGTCAAAATGAAAGACAGCCCACACACCTATCAATCATCAAACTGTGGGGTCTTATTTCATTACGTGTTGTATCGATGTACTTCAGCAAAAGTATTCTCCGTCAGGACTTCCTGAAACAACACCACGCCGTTATCTTGATTCTGATTGGCCAGAAGACATTATCAAAGATGTTCTATTGAGAAGACGATCACTACGTGACAAAAGTTTTTCAAAACCGTTTCTAGTCTTCGGTATTTCCAGACAAGTGACTACTGAAATCAATCTTACTAACTGCTGTCTGTGCAATTTACTCGGCGCGAGTTGGCGGACTTTATTTTGCTTACTTTAACATCATTTTTCATGGTGGGGCTAAGCCATTTCTTGGTATCATACCCTGGCGCTGCCACTGTTGGGATGTATGGGGCGGGCCATTCTGCGCATGCGTTAAATGCGTTAAATATTTTAACGCAATTAATTCAAAAAATGAATTATCTCCGTTAACGCGATAATTTTGACAGCATTAGTTATTTTTAACCAAATATCTCTCAGAGGGGCGTGGGGAGTGGCTCCTTATTTTCATCTAAAGTAACAGACAGAGAATCAGCCCTTGAATTTAACCCTTTTTTTCTCATTCATAGTTGCTAACCAAATCACTGAAATTACTGTACGTTTTTTCTTGATTCACTTATTGTTTGTGCTCGAGTCACTACACTTTAAGAATCAGGATTCCAAACCTAGGTTAACTAACAAAGTTCATAGAAACCATCCAGAGCAGGTACTTCCTCCTGCACACTCACCGAGGGCCTGCTGGCAGTGGAGGATGTGGAAGTCGTTGTGCATGCAGGCGGCCAGCAGCAGCTGCTCGTGGGTCGGATGCCACTTCAGCCTCCACACTCCCCCCCCCAGCGGAGTCTCACTGAGAGGCTGCCGCATGTTCCTGCCGTCCCACAGCAGAACCTGCTCATCATAGCTGCAGAACCAGGGAACCAGGACACAGACTTTCACAGAGTTCACACACATTCAAGGACTTTCGAGGCATAGTTCCCTCAAATTCAACAACCTAACACGGCATAGTTTGAGACACTGATCAGATTTATAGTGCAAGCGAATGGATATAAATTCAATTAATTTAAATGACTTGAAGATCTTTGAAGGCCTGGATTTTAACCTCACATTGACACATTTTAGGGATTTCACTAACCAGCGGGAACCATGCTCACATTATGTCACAGAAATAGTGAGACCAAAGACAGGAAGCAGTAGTAGTAAACAGACAGTGGAAAAGGTCATTCTCAGGTGACAACAAGTTAACACTGATAGTTAATTGGGATCTGTACCTGCCTGTTGCCAGGATATGTTCTCTGTGCGGGTTGCTGTGAATACTGCACACACCCATTGAGTGCCTTCAAGAGAACAAAGTGGAGAGTGTTATGTAGCTGGCCTCATTAATGAGATGGATGACAGCAACTTCAGGACTCACCTTTTACTGGTGAAAGTGGGGCAGGCCGGACCGGCCCTGAGATCCCAGCCTCTCAGTTTGCAATCATCACCGCCTGTTACACACACAGGAAGACAGAGTGAGGATGCATACATACAGGCAAACAGACATTATCATTAGAAAAACACAGCAGTTAAAATTAGTTCCATCCTATGCACCACAAAGGATGATTAGGCATTTACACATCCAGTAACAATAGATTAATAATATAAATCATACTGTATGCAGCGTGCAATTTTTGTAATATCAGTATCAGTCTGCAGTTTATGTTAGCTGATAAGTAATAGGAAGTTGCAATAGAGAAATGCTTAACATAAATCAAACCTTAAAAAATAAAATTGTTAAACAGTTTGTTTTACTGAGAGCACATCAATGATTTTGAACTGCAAACTGCCCTGCTTGGTAAATGAAGGGAATTATAAAAATGAAAACATTGTTCTGTACAGTATGTCCTGTGTTTATGTAAAAACATGATCAACTTATGAATGATTATCAGATTTTGGTAGTTTTCAAATCAACCTCTTGACATCAGTAATAGTTGGGATCTATATAATGTTTTGTAAATAAATCAAGAATTCAGCAATATCTATTCCAAAGTACAGATTATTCTGAAAATAATAAACATCCCCAACCTGCTTTGGAACTGGGATCAGGTATATACAGTATACCACTGCAACAAGAGAGGATTAGGACTGGCACACAGGGGAAAAAGGTCCAAACATGAAGTCAAATCATAAGGACATGCACCAATGCTAGAAGTTTGTTTCCCTCTCAAAAGATTGGCATCATTCTCAACCTTTGATCTATATTGAAAATTAAATAAATAGAATGGTATTTCGCACTATTATTGAATGCTTATTCTTAAGGTTTTGACCTGAGTTTAAAATGGAGATTAAAAAGAACCCTGCTCTCATTTTTTTCTCTTTATTCCTGAGCCAACACTCTACACCCCAGCTTTCCTAATAATAAACATGTCTCTGGTAGCACATGCTAACAGAGACAGCTCACTCTGAGCTCTGCCTGAACAGAGGCCGCGACATCAGGGTACCATGCTGCACTGACACTAATGTCTGTTGATGGAGATGTAATATTGAACGTGTAACATTATCAATTAATTAATTAAGGATGTTACCTAAGCTAAACAATGCAAGGATATAAAAAACATGCTATTATTGGTTGCATTAATCAGGCTGACAGCCACGGGAAGAATAATATCTGCGTAGGGACATCCCTGCAAGTATGTGTTAAAAAGGAACTGTTTATGATTTGAAAGAGTGTTACCAGAGTACACCATCTGTGTGTCCCAGTAGGAGAAGGCAGAGATCCAGGCTTCGAAGTCATGAGCCTTCCACTTGGAGAGTGAGACCAGAGCGCCTTCAGCCAGAGAAAGCACGCTGACGCAGCCCGCTGAGTCACTGCACACTACCCGCATATCACTGCTGCTCACACACACAATTAGTGATTTATTAAGGAATGAAGACATGCCGTCAGAACAACATGAACAAGTCTGTCCGAGGCAAGCACATAAACACAAACCTTTTGAATTACGTTGTTCATATTTAACTGTTTAGGCAAAATCTCAGCAGTTTTTATTGACCTCCGCTGTCACTGCAGCGGGAAAATAATCTCATCTGCTCCTTAGACTGTAGCTATATATAATAATAATAATAATAATAATAATAAATGATAAAAATAATATTAATACTTTTAATAGTAGTAATAATAATAATAATAATATATAATTATTATTTATAATGATTGTGCTGAAACAGTGAAAATAATTGTCTTATATGTAGTCTCAAGAAGGTTGGTGACCCCTGTTTTAGTGTATCAGGTCATATTTTGCAGTATGTGTTGTGCAACGACAGACATTTTGAGATAGTCACATTTTATGTTGGTTTTTGGTTGTATTGTCTTCCACTTCCTGTTTTGTTTCATCACTCACTGTTTACCCTAGCCTCATCCCAATACCCCTCCTCGACTCCTCCTTTCCGGCCCATTCCCAAACCGCCCCCTACACCCTACCCCTCCGTTTGCGCGTTCACGCGGAGGGTCCGCCATATTGAGGGCTGTTCCAAACCAACGAGTATGGAGCGGTGTGGAGGGGGAGTGGGCTATCAAGCCCTCAAACAGCGAGTCTGCAGCGGTGCTGACTTGAGACCGGTCTCTACCTGACGAGAGTCACGCTGTGTGTGTCCGTCAGGAAACACGCGGTTTACAATAGTTCCAGCAAACATCCACTGATAAACTGCGATGTTAACAACCTCTTGATAACCTCATATGTTTTTAACTTAGGATCATAACTGTGTTTAGTCTAGAAAAAGGTAAATGTGTGCATTTTATTATAAAGTTGTGTATATTTACAGACTGTTGCAAAAACTAAGAAGCTTATAAACATCAGGTTTAAAACTAAAAGAGCTTTACAAAAAAGTAACACAATGAAAGATGTTTGGAGTTTTATTTGAGTTATTAATTTACATTTTTTGTCTAAGAGATGCTGATTTGAAACCGTTGTTACATACAGTTACGGCATTTCCTGTTTCTGCCGGAGAGAGGGGAGGCCGTCCCAAAGCTTGCCGCTGTATTTACTCCCTCCATCCGACAGGAGGGAGCCTCGTTGAGCTGCGAGTGTGGCTACAGACGGAGTTCACTCCGTCAGGGAGGGGTAGGGTCGAGGGAGTGGTTTGGGATTGGGCCGGAGTTTGATATTAAAGAGTAACTTGCAGGTTAGAGACACCAGTGAATAAATGTGTAGGAAAATG